GAATGTCAGGGTTTGTGCTTCTAAGCTAAAGCTTATACGCAATGCATCATGCAGCATGGCGCCGATCGTAAGCCCAGACCCAAATCTATACTGGAATGACTAAAGCAGAAGAAACGTGCTTTGAACAGGATCAGTCAAAACCCTGGTCTTCACCCATTAGACTATTTTGGCATGACCTGAAGCGAGGGTGCTTGGCAACTGGCAAGTACTTATGACACATGCTATATCCTGGGATCATGTGATCACTATTTGTAACCTTCCCAGCTGTCTTCCAACAAGCAAAGTCAATGGGGGAAAGCCAGATTCGCTTAACAACTGTGGCAAAAAAAGGCCACAACATGAGGTGCATTGAACAGCTGTCTTGTTTAGCAACAGAAATTTTGGGCTCAGGTGTAGTTGTACGTTGAGGGGTACCTATATTCAGAAAAAGTGAAGGTTGCCTACTAATGTAGTCAAGACTTCGTAGGAGGGAGCAAATGTCAAAACAAATATTCACCAGTGCAAAAAAAAAAAAATCCTTCCCTCTTTTTATATGTCTATCACATTCCATACACCATATGTACACAAATGGGTACATGGTCCATCATGCCATTGTGCCAAAGGGATCATATATAAAAGGAGATGAGAAAAGTTGAACTTGTGGATTTCAAGAAATGAACCAAATGAAGGTTGGGCTATCCTCTTTTAATTTTTAAGATCAAGCTCAGAATTTCAGAATAACATTTATTATGAAAGATCACATTGCATTAAATTAATTAAGCTAACTGGAACTATGGAGAATCAATGCTGAATGTAAGCAGCCAATATCAAGGAATATGATCTTGTCTCAGATAAAAGACATATTTAATTAATTGAGAAAGGAGACAGCAACTTTTCCTATGGAATACACCAAATAATGTTTATTTACTACAAATAAATAAATTTGTTTCATGCAGAAATGTTTGATTTCAAAACACAAAAAGCAGAATTTAAATATCTTTAAATGAAAATTGCTTCACTCCATCTTGATTCACTCAAAGCCTGCAACTTTTATGGTGAAGCTCTGAAGCTGACATCAGATCACTTGGTTTGTTCCTGTAATTCATTCATTTTAGCTGGTATTAAACCAGGCCACTATTTTTTCCTTCAACAAATACAGTTTTAAAAGTGCTGGCACAGCAGAATGTGTAAACTATATTCCTTGAATATTAAGATTTTAAACTGGAATCTGTATACAATATGTTAAAGGATACCATCCTAGGAATGCAGATTTATATTAAATAAAGCTCGCATTTTATGGATTTGATCTCAATATTGATGCACCCAAACAGACACAGTTAAATTAGACTTCCCTAATTGTCTTCTCTAATCAAAGAATACTTGACTTACACAGGCAGCATTAACAATCAAATTGGACAATGAGGTTTACCTAAGGGATGCTGCATGAAAAAGTTCTCACTGCTAGCTTGAATACAGAAACTGAAAAGGGAACAATGAAAAGAAAAATCAAAACAATCGTCAATCTGCTTATCTCTCTTTCTTATCTGCCATACACATAGTGAATTTTTCATGATATGGTTTGAAAATTATGAAACTACAGCTATTTCCTATTATTTTCTCCTTCCCAGACATTGTATCTATTATTAATAGACACACTATGGATACAGAAAAAAAAATAATATTAATTATCATTCTTGGTTCAAAAATGAAGTCATAGTCAGGTAGATAATGTTAAACTTCAACATCATGATTAAGGGTCATTATTTTGGGATAAATGGCTGCCTTTTGTTTTGATGCTGAAGATTACATACTAAATGAATGGCCTTTACAAAGAACTATGGCTAAGTTTACAACCAGTAATTATCATTTCTGACATGCACATTCTGCCCCCAGTCAGGGACATGTTACATATGACTGCATCCAGTTTTGATCACCACGATGTAAAAAAGATGTTGGGACTCTAGAAAGAGTATAGAGAAGAGCAACAAAGATGATCAGGGGACTGGAAGCTACCACATACAAGGAACGGTTGCTGGAATTGGGTTTGTCTAGTTTAAGAAGGACGAGGGGGGACATGATAGCAGAGTTCCAATATCTCAGGGGTTGCCAAAAAGAAGAGGGAGTCAAGCTATTCTCCAAAGCACCTGAAGGCAGGATAAAAAGCAATGGACGGAAACTAATCAAGGAGAGAACTAACCTAGAACTAAGGAGAAATTTCCTCACAATTAGAACAATTAATCAGTGGAACAACCTGCCTCCAGAAGCTGTGAATACTCTAATACTGGAGGTTTTTAAGAAGAGACTGGACAGCCATTTGTCTGAAATGATATAGGGTTTCCTGCCTGAGCAGTGGGTTGGACAAGAAGACCTGCAAGGTCCCTTCCAATTATTATTATTATTATGGATCATCGCACAGTCAGCCAGATGTTCAGACTGGATTTGGCATTTTGTCTACCTATCGAGTCCTTACCCAGGACCTGGGATAGGCAGATGTGGATGTTTGATGGTATTACAGATATCGTCGCAGGATGGAAGCAGTTCCTAATAAGGCCGCCTTTTGCAATTGACTAATAGCGAATTTGTCAATGCCAATGGTGTTCAAGTGGTGCTCCAGTTGTTTTGGGATTGCACCCAAGGAGCCTATGACTATTGGTACTACCCTTGCTTGCTTTTGCCACAGTCTTTCTATTTCTATTTGTAGGTCTTTGTATTTTGTTATCTTCTCCAGTTCTTTCTCTTCTATTCTGCTATCTCCAGGCACTGCCACATCCACTATCCAGACTTTTTTGTCTTTCTTATCGACAATTGTTAAGTCTGGGGTGTTATGTTGCAGGTGCTTGTCTGTTTGAATTCTGAAGTCCCAGAGCAGTTTAATTTATCATTTTCTATGACTTTCTCTATTTTATGATCCCACCAGTTTTTGCTTACAGGCAAATGATATTTTTTGCAGATCTTCCAATGCACCATTGTTGCTACTTTGTCATGCCGCTGCTTGTAATCAGTTTGTGCAATCTTCTTGCAACAGCTTACCAAGTGGTCCACTGTTTCTTCAGCTTCTTTGCACAGGCGGCACTTAGTGTCTGTTGCTGTCTTCTCAATTTTGACTTTTTATGCATTTGTCCTTAAGGCTTGGTCTTGTGCAGCCAGAATTAGTCCCTCTCCATCCTGCGATGATATCTGTAATACCATCAAACATCCACATCTGCCTATCCCAGTCCTGGGTAAGGACTCGACAGGTAGACAAAATGCCAAATCCAGTCTGAACATCTGGCTGACTGTGCGATGATCAATAATAATAATAATAATAATAATAATAATAATAATAATAATAATAGGGTGAGATGTATGAGCAGAAGGCCTTTTCTCTGCTAGGGCTTCCAAGATCATGATTGAAAAAAATGTAAACATTGTTTTTTGAACATTGTTCAAGAGTTTGTTTGAGACCTAGTAGTGCAGTGGTTAGACTGCAGTATTGCAGGCTAACTCTGCCCATAGTCTAGAGTTCAATCCTGATGGGGTCGAGGTTGATTCAGCCTTCCATCCTTCCGAGATCAGTAAAATGAGGATTCAGATTGTTCGGAGCAATATGCTGACTTTATAAACTGCCTAGAGAGTGCTGTAAAACAAGGGTCCCCAACCCCCGGCCCACCACCGGTCCACGGCCTACCAGCAACCGGACAATGCAAATAAATGAAGCCCAATCCACAGGATGCAAGCAGCATGCAAAACCATGCTACCTCCAGTCTGTGGAAAAACCTCTCTCCACAGAACCGGGCCCTGGTACACAAAAGGCTGGGGACTGCTGCTGTAAAACACTATGGGTGTTATTTAAGTCTAAGTGCTACTGTTATTGTTATTTGTGTGCCAGGCAATAGTAATTTTCATGCAGGGGTTCCCTGAGACTTGGAGATTATTTTAAGGGTTCCTGCAAAGTAATAAGGTTTGAGAAAGGCTGCTTTAGAGAGTTACTATTAAGTAAAAGACATCCAGATCTCATCAGCCAATGATTACCAAGATCTTCTGGGACTACAGGCCTGCATCTCCTGAACCTTCCTCAAGTGATGGGAACATGAGGACATAACTTTCTCTGTGGTGGCAGTTCAGATTTGAAGCTCTGCTTTCAAAAGTATTAAACTGGGTCTTTCTCTGCTTACTCTCCGTTGAACTGTGAAGATGTTTTGATTGGTTGAGATCTTTCACCAAAACATTTAAAAATGTATTTTGATTAGCAAGTTAGTTAAGCATGGAGTGGATGACATTAATAAGTGGGTATCTAACTGGCTTTAAAACCATACTCAAATGGTTCTCCATGATTCTTCATCAAATTGGATAGAGGTATTAAGTGGATACTACAAGAATCAACTCTTGATCCTTTTACTCCTCAGAATTTTTATTAATAATGGGATGAAAATGTGGAAATAATATTTATAAAGGTATGCAGATGACACAAAATTGGTCGGATAGTTAAAAGAGAAAAGTGCAAATATCTTCACTTTAGCAATAGCACTAGCACTTAAACATATAGCTTCATAGTGCTTTACAGCCCTCTCTAAGTGGTTTACAGAATCAGCCTATTGCCCCCAATAATCTGGTTCCTCATTTTACTGATCTCGGAAGGATGGAAGGCTTATGCTGACTCTGTAAACCACATAGAGAGGGCTGCAAAGCACTATGAAGCGGTATATAAATTTAAGTGCTATTCCTATTGCTATTACTAAACCCTCACAGCTGCTTCTAGGTTTGAGCTACAAAATCAGCAGGCATAAATTTTCAGAGAAGCTTCAGCTCTGCAGCCAGTCAAACTTGAGCTCTCAAAAGTCTATAAATCGATTTGGCTCTTAATATTGCCAGCAGTAGAGCAGTGCTAATGCTATTGTACTATTTTATAAGGCAATAATGTCCTTTTCTCATGGAGAGAAACTATTAGGATGAACAAGGACTAAGTTATGGGCTTGTATAACAGCACAACAACTTTATTCTTGCAGAAACTGGGGACACTTAGCATTCTTTGCCATACTTACACATCCCGTGGTGCATGAAGACCACACTTTGCATTCTCCACTTATTTTACAGCAGGTGCAGGAGAAAAGGAGAGATGGAGAGAGGTCAGCAATTCCTTCAGGAATGATCGGCAGTGTTGTGGAGCCCTGGCTGATTAAGGCTGTGTTTCTTTTCTCAAAAAAGACAAAAGAGCAAGTTGCTAGCAAGCACACATGAAGGAGAACTTAAGGATTTTTTCTAATTTCATTTCAAAGGAGCTGGTGAGAGACACACTGCTAATCTGTCAGGTGGTTTGGAGGATCACACCTGCAACCACCTCTGAATAAGAAATCATTAACTGCATAGGGCTTACAAGCCGTGTCTTCTACATGGAATTTAATGTGGAGTTCAGTTTTGTTCATATTCACTTAACCGGCGCGTTTAGTCAATCACTTCCTCATTGGCAGCTTTAAGCTCCTTTTTTTCAATCTCAGCTTTCAGTAAACCCTTGTTAACCATTTCCGTGTCTGAAAACCAGCTGATAACCTCTGTTTTAAAGAGTACTGTTATTTCATTTGTGCATTCTGTCATATTTCTCTATTTAAATGGCTTCTCAAAGAATCATTCAAAGATTCAACCAATCGAGCCAGGCATTTCCAAGTCCCTGTTTGATAAATTTGCTCTGATTCTGCAAAATTAACTTCAAATTATGGCAGTGGGGAGCCAAAGGCAGGATTTCTCCAATGGTAACCCATAAAAGCATTGATTCTATGTGTGCGCAAACTATAGTGAGGATCATAACGCAAGGTCAAGATATTTCCCCCAGTGGGGCTGTTTGAGTCAGTGATTAATATAAGTGAAGCATGACAAATAGCCATCACTCTATATCTGCCTCAAACAAGACCTATGCAGGTCTTGTTGGAGGAACGGAAAGGTCATTCATTAGTCAGAGGGAAGAAACACATGGCAGATCTGTGATAAATAACAGTCATTACGGCATTACAATGCACCCTGGGCTTCCTTGCTCCAAGCATGTACAAAGCGTGACATGAGCCATCTTTCTCCTTTAAGAGAGAGCTGGGAAGAAAATTGCACACATAACCGTTCATGTTGTACCAAGATCTGTCCTGAAATTTTGGCAAAGCTTGCTTCCTCTGTCAAATGGGGCTGCTGTAACTTTCTTTTGCTAGGTATTTTGAGTATACGGACAAGTCCTCGAACTTACGACAGTTCATTTAGTGACCATTTGAAGTTACAACAGCATTGAAAAAAGTGACTTATGACTGTTTTTCCACACTTACGACCCCACGGTACGCCTGATGAAAATTCAGACTCATGAAAACTGACTCATATTTATGACGATTGCAATATCCTGGGGTCATGTGATCCCCTTTTGCGACCTCCTGACAAGCAAAGTCAATGGGGAAGCCAGATTCACTTAACAACCGTCTTACTAACTTAACATCTGCAGTGGTTCACTTAACAACTGTGGCAAGAAAAGTCGTAAAATGGGGCAAGGCTCATTTAACAAATGTCTCACTTAGCAGCAGAAATTTGGGGCTCAATTGTGGTCGTACGTAGAGGACTACCTGTACTGAATTGTAAGGTTATACGAATGTTGGATGGGAGAGGAAGAAGGAGGGAGGGAGAGAGAGAAAGAGAGAGAGAGAGAGAGAGAGAGAGAGAGAGTGTTCCAAATCTTTTCATCTCTTTACTGCCTCCCCAGCTGGCTGTATTTGTGGATTTGAGAAAGAGCCATAAGATGGGGAAGGACTGCTATCTACCAAAGTAGATACAGAATCTGGTATGACCTCATAGACTCACGGAGATGCAAGGGACCTTAGAAGTCTTCTGGTCCAACCCTCTCTGCTCAAGGCAGGAGTCCTTATACCCTCCTTGACAAATGGTTGTCCACTCATTTCTTGAAAATCTCCAGTAATGGAGCATCTACAACTCCAGGAGGCAAGCTGTTCCACTGATTAATTGTTCTCACTGTCGGGAAAGTCCTGCTTATTTCCGAGTTGGATCTTCTTCTGATGCTTAGGATGATCTCTTTCCATTCCAAAATAATCAAACCTTATTAGGGCATCAGCTTCTGTAAGCTGGCTAGCAATCCTTGAAGCTGCTATCAAACTCAGCAATCTGCTCATGAGATCACAAGGGAATGAGTGACTTTAATCAGTCTTTTGTTCCAGGAATAGACACAGGTGAATTTGCACAACTGAAACCTAGCAAAGACTACAGTTCCCACCTACTATTCCAGCACAAGCTAAGAATTCAGAAATGTCCCCAGATTGAGTACCAGCTCTTTCCTGGGAAGCTCTACCCAATTCTGAACTAAGGTATATCCATAAACAATCACGTACATATTTTGAGTACATTTTTTGTCCACAACCCCCTCCAACTTTTGTACGTTTGTTTGTATAAAACTTTTTCAAACAGAAATATTGCTTCCAATTATGTGGAGCTATGTGCACAACCTTCCCAAATCTCTGTATTAATTTGGAATAAACATTAGCAGACTCCCTGACGTGCCACATGAGCTCTGAGAAAATAAAAGCTGGATCAAACTCAGTCCCGTAAAAGGATTTAAGCTCAATAAATCTTACAAACACTTTATATTATGAACAGGCCAGATTCTTAATTCCTGCCATTTACTATTTGCCAGTGAACACAACATTTTTACTGCAAGGGTAGTGCTAGAAAGGGAATTCTACAGTGGAAGATGTTAGTCATGTGACTCCATCCTAAGAATTAATATCTTAAGATTAGTTCCATTCTTCTGGATGTCAACATCAGAGAAATTAAAGGAAAAATGTTCCAAAAGAAGAAAAAAAATATCCATGGATGTTATGTATAAGAAAATCTAAGCTGATTTTCTTCCTTGGAAATGGTTTCAATACCATTTTATGATGGGTGGATGGATGGACAGGCAGATGGTATGTTAAATCAAAGAATAAATTTATAGTTTATAATATAAATTCAAATTTTAATAGAAATGTTACGGACTTCAGTAATCCTATATTCTTAAGTATAGGATTACAGCTTTAGCCATTAAAGTCAGGAAACCATTTTTCCCCATATTATCCAAAAAAACAGACGTTCTGTTTCACTACATAAAAAGGAAAACTTTTTTTTCCTAGTCTTTGGAAGAGACTGGTACTCAGTAGGCTTCTGATTAATAAGTATTTGTGGGCTGCTGCTACATCTACCCAAAAAGCAGTCATGCTGAATTTAACCCTCATCTACCAAGGGAAATATTAAACAAAAAGGCATTGCAGATTTTATTACTATATTCTCATAGAATCTACTGTCACCACTTCCTTATCTTATATTACTTACAAAAGATGTGGGATTTATTCCAGGAAAATACAGCATTTATTCAAGCCCTGAATTCTGTCATATCCAAACAAGAGAAAAAAATAATATTTTTGGATCTGCAGCAGTGTTGCACATCTCTCTCTCTCTCTCTCTCTCTCTCTCTCTCTCTCTCTCTCTCTCTCTCTCTCTCTCTCTCTCTCTCTCTCTCTCCCTCCCTCCCTCCCTCCCTCCCTCCTCCCTCCTTGGGAGAGGGTGGTGGAAATAACTTAGAGATTTGCAAAGCCAGAATTTACTGAAATAGTTCTAGTGATTTCCAAATGCAACAGGCTATAATTTTTCCAACATTCAGAAAAGGAACCGCACAATTCTCATCCAAGTTAAAGGTTATTAAGCAATTGCACTTAGGAATGGAGGCAGAGCCAACTTTCTTAGTGTTTTAACTGTTTTCTCGAACATTGTACCTAGCTAGAAACCCAGAGACTGTGAATTCTAGTCCCGTCTTAGCCATGAAAGCCAGCTGGGTGACCTTTGGCCAGTCACTGTCTCTCAGCCCAACCCACATCACAGGGTTGTTTTTCTGGGGGGAATAGGAGGAAGCCGTACTGGATATGTTCACCACCTTCAGTTATTTGTAAAAATAATAAAGGCGGAATACAAACAAATTAATAAAATTGCAGTTGTGTTGATTGTTTGGGCATTAATGTTTGTTTACTGGGCTCAGAACAAATTTTATTGGATTGATTAGCAATTATTGTGATTCTTCTATTATTATTATTATTATTATTATTATTATTATTTGTACCATACCTTGGAGGTAAAAAAAATGTTTTTTATCTTTCATGTTGCTGATATCTAACTCTGCTTTTCAGTATCTAATGAATCAGGAGAAACCATGAAGACATTGAACCAGTATTGTACTTGATAAGAGGAAGGATGGAGGCCAATACACTCAGGCTGAAACTTAATAAGACGGAACTAGTATTAGATAAACAGTAATTGAGAATCTCCTTTTCACTGGGTTGCATTGTGCTTAAAGGAGCAAGTATGGAAATGGCAACTGTTATTTGGTCCTACATTATAACTGGAGATCAGGTTGCCTTAGTGACATGAAACACTTTACATTTCTTTTGATTTGTTCTTGGATAGGCAGAGCATTGGAAAAAAAAATCCCTCTTAATCTATAGAAGAAGTGAGTATGTCTCAAGGAGAGAAATAATAACAATAATCCTTTTGGAACACCATATCCAATGATTCAATTTATGTAATACTAAAATATGAGAAACATGGTAGCAGAACATGAGTGAACAAGAACTAGGCCCAACATTTTCTTATTGCTAGGTAGAAACTGAGAGACAATAAATCCCTGGGTGACTTTAGGCTAGCTACTCTTTCTCTGCCCTGGGAAAGCAGGAAATGGCTTCTGAAGTATTACCACAAAAATGCAGAGACTTGTCCAGGCAGTTGCCAGGAGTCAAGATTGACCTGAAGGCATATATTTCTTTTTCTCTTTAAGAGGAAACTTTGAGTCTGTACAGCCAGAGCCTCATTTTAAATATAAGCCTCTAGAAAAAACTCAATTTAAACTTGGCTTGATATACACTGTGACAATATATTCTATATCGCCAGCTTCACAATTTCATCAGGGATACTTTGAACCCATTCAAAAAATCATTTTTATTTCTCGAATGAAATAAGCAGATTTGGCTGCTGGAAGTATATTATATAGAGGATAACTCAGTAACCTTAACTAAGTTTTTACAATAGGTTTGGCTTTATATACTTCACTTGCCGGGTACAGATTTGAAGTCATGGCCGCTAGAATTCTGCTTGGATACTGGAAAAACAGATTAGCCATGATAGCCAGTTGGAATGTGGGTAATGAAATGTCTGAAAGGAAACAACCAAGCTTAGAGAGCACCCAGGACCCCTCAATCATAGTAGTAAGGCTGGTCAATTGTAGCAGTTCTGGCATTTTTGGAGAAAACAGCATTTCCCTGCATTAACCAATAGCATCTCTAACTTCAAATATGAGCTATCATTATTGCAGCTCTTGTTCTTGAAAGACCAATTGGAAGCATGAAGAGACAACAACATAGTTTGCACGAATTGCAATGGCTTATTGTACTTTTACAGGTTTGACTTATCTTTAAATCCATTTCCAATTTTGGGCCAATTTCTTACAGAGATTGTTGTCTCTCTCCCCGGCCCTCCACCTGTAAGGTTGTTAACAGGGATTAGCTGTTAAAACAGAATCATCAATTTTTCTGCTCTCTGGAATGAGCTATTAATGGTCATCAAGACAAATGTTTCCTTTACAACTTTCTAACAGAACTGAAAAAGTATTTTATTTCAGTAATTTTCATGACAGTAGGCTTAGGGGTGATAATTTGTTATTTGTTTCGTTATTTGACTTGTTTCAAGGTATTGTTTGTTTACTACAGGTAGTAATCGACTTATGACCGTAATTGAGTCCAAAATTTCTGTTGCTAAATGAGACATTTGTTAAATGGGGTGTGGCCCATTTTACAGCCTTACTTGCCACAGTTGTTAAGTGAATCCACTGCAGTTGTTAAGTTTGTACCATGGTTGTCTGTTAAGCGAATCCGGCTTCCCCACTGACTTTGCTTGTCAGAGGGTAGCAAAAGATGATCACATGAACCCGGGACACTGCAACCGTCATAAATATGAGTCAGTTGCCAAGCATCTGAATTTTGATCACATGACCACAGGAATGCTACAATGGTCACAGGTGTGAAAAACGGTCATAAGTCATTTCCTTTCAATGTCGTTGTAACATTGAATGGTCACTAAAACAACTGTTGTAAGTCGAGGACTACCTGGATTAACTATTTTGAGCCTCAGAAAT